ACATTATCGAATACAATTGACAGTTTATTTTATTTGAAGGTGGAGAAATTTAAATGTTAATTACTGTAAAACTTTTTTTAATAAAATTTGTAAATTTTAAATTATCTAAGTGACTATCTAAAAAAATTTCTAAAGTCACCACTTAGTGGAGGTGGTGGTGGTGGAGGTGTTGGGTGGTGGTGACGGTGGAAGTAATAGTGTTGGCGATGGTGGAAGTTATAGGGTGAAGGCACTGCAAGAATTTTCACTTTTGGTGACTAAATTTTTAGTCGCCAAAAATCATATTTTAGTCGCCTATAGTCTTTAGTGACTAAATTTTTTGGTCGGAAAATTAGTAGCCAAAGAGTAGTCGGGAAATATAATTGCCGACTAAACCTAATTTAGTCCCCAATAGGTTTGAAAATTAATTAAATAAATACATTTTTGCCGACCAATTTTTTTGTCGCCAAAAGCCAATTATTTAGAGGCCGAAAAATTTTTAGCTACTAAATTTTTTAGTCGCCAAAAGCAAATACTAGTGTTTTGGCTACTAAAATTTTAGTCGCCTAAAGTCAATCTTTTTTGGCTACTAAAAATTTAGTCGCCTAAACTTCAACATTTTTTGCTACTAAAAATTTAGTCGCCTAAACTACGACATTTTTGGCTACTAAATTTTTAGTCGCCAAAAGTCATATTTATTCTTCAACTTTTGTTTTTAGCTACAAAATATTTTAGTCGCCAAATGTTTGATTTTCTTTTGGCTACAAAACTTTTAGTAGCCAAAGGTTTGATTTTCTTTTGGCTACAAAACATTTAGTGGCCAAATGTTTGTTTTTCTTTTGCCTACAAAAAATTTAGTAGCCAAATGTTTGATTTTCTTTTGGCTACAAAACTTTTAGTAGCCAAATTGTTTTTTTTTTTCCCTTTTTATTTGCTACAAAACGTTTAGTCGGAAAAAGCATGATATTATGTTTTATTGCTAATATTATAATGTGTTCATAACCTGTCTGTATGCCATTCAACCTGCAATATGTATATAAATAAAATGATACATAAATTATCAATCATTCCACAATTTGCATCCGTATACAAAAAATAAATTACTTTAACTGTCCAAGTACATACAAACGAACTATTGTCCAAACTAAAATAATAATTCTATACAACATATACAATCATACAAAAAGTAAAGCCCTCCATATACAAAAATTGCATTTACTATACCATGTGAAATGACCATTTGGCATGGTACAAATTACCATCGTAATCTGTACTACGACAAAAGGTGATGTATGTACTAAGCCAAAAATACATCTATGTACCACAACAAAAAATCAATTTAGTGGACGGCGTCAAAAGGTGATCTATCTACCATGCCAATAATTATCTGTTCGATGCCAATAGTTTTCTGTATCAGGAATAGTTAACTGCACAAAAGCTGGAGACGACAAAAGTATTATATTACTTCTATAAAAAAGTACAATTTCTTCTCCATACACCAAAATATCTCTGCAAGTCCACACAACGAAGTCATCTACAAAAAAAAAAAAAAAAAAAAAAAAAAATTGAATTGGACCCAAAAATGCCCAACTTCATGAATGAATTTGGGAACAAGTGACAAATAAAAATAAGTGAGAAGCAACCTTCCATGATGAATCAATTATCAGTCATTGTACAATCTTTCTAAAGTCTTTTGTTATAAGGAACATTGTTAAATGTAGAACAATCATTACTAAATCTTTCATTAGTAACATACAACTAATGTAACAATCTTCTATTTATATGCAACAGGTATCCAAATTTTGTGGCTAAACCAATATTAAAGCCCAATGTGAATAGAAAGTATTCTTTTTACCAACTTCATCATTATTTGTTTGCAAAAGGCACTTGAATCATTAGATTGGATATAAAACCATCGGTGCTTATTAATGTATGCCAGTGCCATTTCAGAGAGGATATTAGAACATGTGATAAAAATAATAACACATGTGTGTACGTTCACAAAATTAGCAAGTTTAAAACATTTCGTCAGTTGTCACAAGTCATATTTGTAATGGGAAAGCTACCGTGAGAGTTAGACGGAGGTTCAGGCGCTGTTTTGAATTTTTGCCCCCGAAACGCCCTTTTTCGACTAAATTTTGGGCGTATTCGGCTCTAAATCCCAACCTATAGGTCCGAATAACATTCCGTCAGTTGTCACAAGTCCTATTTGGCATGGGGAAGCTTCCCGTGTCGGCCACGCGGAGGTTCGAGGGCTGTTTTGAATTTTCACCCCCGAAACGCCCTTTTTCAACTAAGTTTTGGGCGTATTTGTCGCTAAATCCGAACCTATAGGTCTGAATAACATTCAGTCAGTTGTCACAAGTCATATTTGACATGGGGAAACTGTTCGTTTCGGCCACACGGAGGTTCGGGGGCTGTTTTGAATTTTCGCACCCGAAACACCCTTTTTCGACTAAGTTTTGGGCGTATTCATCTCTAAATCCCAACCTATAGGTCCGAATAACATTCCATCAGTTGTCACAAGTCCTATTTGGCATGGGGAAGCTTCTCGTGTCAGCCACGCGGAGGTTTGGGGGCTGTTTTGAATTTTCGCCCCCGAAACGCCATTTTTCGACTAAGTTTTGGGCGTATTTGTCTCTAAATCCCAACCTATAGGTCTGAATAACATTCAGTCAGCTGTCACAAGTCATATTTGGCATGGGGAAACTGTTCGTTTCGGCCACACGGAGGTTTGGGGGCTGTTTTGAATTTTCGCACCCGAAATGCCCTTTTTCGACTAAGTTTTGGGCGTATTCGTCTCTAAATCCCAACCTATAGGTCCGAATAACATTTTGTCAGTTGTCACAAGTCATATTTGGCATGGGAAAACTATTCGTTTCAGCCACACGGAGGTTCGGGGGCTGTTTTGAATTTTTGCACCCGAAACGCCCTTTTTCGACTAAGTTTTGGGCGTATTTGTCTCTAAATCCCAACCTATAGGTTCGAATAACATTCCGTCAGTGGTCACAAGTCATATTTGGCGTGGGGAAACTGTTCGTTTCGGCCACATAGAGGTTTGAGGGCTGTTTTGAATTTTCGCACCCGAAATGCCCTTTTTCGACTAAGTTTTGGGCGTATTTGTCTCTAAATCCCAACCTATAGGTCCGAATAACATTTTGTCAGTTGTCACAAGTCATATTTGGCATGGGAAAACTGTTCGTTTCAGCCACACGGAGGTTTGGGGGCTGTTTTGAATTTTCGCCCCCGAAACGCCCTTTTTTGACTAAGTTTTGGGCGTATTTGTCTCTAAATCCCAACCTATAGGTTCAAATAACATTCCGTCAATTGTCACAAGTCCTATTTAGCATGGGGAAGCTGCCCGTGTTAGAGAAACGGAGGTTCGGGGGCTATTTTGAATTTTCACTCCCAAAACTACCATTAAAACAGTATTGCTAAAAAGTTCTAGAACCAACAATGATGTGAGGTCCAACCAGAGTTCTTCTAAAACTACAAAGATCTCATGCAAATTTACTCTTGACTTTACAAAAATTAGCATGCCAGAGCCTAACTTGGTGCAGACTGTCAACCATAAATTACCCTTACAGCACCATGAATGGCTTATTTGGCTTCAAGCATGTGCAAGGAGTTCTAAGTTCTTTTCAATGCCTCTTGGACAAGGACTCCAATTTTCCTACATATGTCTTGCGATGATAAACAATAAACCAAACACAAATAGAAATGTAAAGATAAGATCGATAACAAAGTGAACAGGCACCTTCATTAACATGCAGGAGATTCCGGAATAGGTGATTGAAGATATATTGAAATGACTTAAAACAAGAACCAAGAACAAAAGCAACTGATGATTGAAAAATAAAGATTAAATCGCCCAACTGAATGGTGACACAGGAAACTAGTGTAGCTCAGATATGCATATGATGCTATTAAAGCACCCATTCAGATAGAATCTTCATCCTACCATCTACAACATTTTCACAGAGAAACATACCGTTCAAACAACAAAACATAATCATTTTTGCTGAAACCCCACATCAGTTTGATGTTTTATTTTATTTCATTTGGATTGTCACTTAATTGGCAAAAGCAATTCAATATAGAAATATCAGTGACAATTTGGATTGGAATCTTCACTAACTGCTCTAGTGATACATAGATTACTTGAAATAAATCAACATTGTCTTGCTACCTTTCAGAGCTTATATGTTAGCCATGATGGCGCTGAAATTATCATAACACCATAGTATCAGTGCTCACATATCAGCATTGCCACATTATTCTAGATGGAATTTTTGTGTATATAATTAGTTGTTTAACATTTTCCATTTTTGAATGGTACATGGCATGTGCCTATGGGAATAAAAGATGAACATTACATCAATATGACTTCAGTGGCAACAGTGTTTGGATGGTATGTACTTAATTTTTTTTTTTGTCTGGCCATATATGTAATTGTAAACCATGTGGTTGGTTCATTTGGGTAAGTGGAAGAATTTAATCAGAACTTGTGGTTGACATGTTTCAGCTTGCGAAATAGCATGCTGATGAGTGCAAGAATAGGGAGGGTGAGGTATTAACTTCTTTAGTTAAATTAAGCTGCCTGGAAGGCAACAAAAAGTATTAGGGGCTCCATTGTTAGTTGCTTCCCTATTGTTGGAGGATACAAACCTTGTGAAAAGGAGCACTATATGTAGTAGGAGGTGCTTGGCTCAAACTGTCAGCATGGAGGCAAACGCATGTTGATATTCTTGTAGCTTGTGGATACAACAAACCTGCTAGAGGCTGTGTTCTTGTAGGTACAGTGCTTGGTGTTGTATTGTCATATATCTTAAATTATCACAATACAGAAGATCCAAAGATTGATTGGAAAGAGCTTCAAGGGCTTTAAGAGCTTACAAGAGGTTTCTAGTATTTCACTTTGTCCCTTTATCTCTTTCTCTAAACTTTTCTTTCTTTTACATATTATTCTTACACTCATTTTTGTTTTCATAATTTTCCACACTGCTGGTTGTTTCCATGGCTCATTTTATCTGCCCAACTTGCATTGCCCACACCCAATCCTTACCAGACAAACTAATTTTGACCACACAGGCTATGTAGTTAAACTCAGCAGCCATCTCCTTTTGCTTCAACTCCAATGCCATATGCCAACCTTGAAGTTTCATCCTCTCGTTTTCCATCCTCATCATTTCCAACTCCCGGTCTTTTTTCCTGCAAAATCTCTGCCACTTGAACCTCTCTTTCTCCAATTCCAACATTTGTGCCTGAATCTGTAACTTCTGTTCTTCCAACTGAAGTGAGCGATGTTTCATCCACTGCCTTTGCAACAGGTTTGCTTTCACACCTTCGGGTAACCCTTCATTCGTATCACCCTGAACATTTTGTGGGTGAGAACTGAAAGTTTTGTTACAGTCTAAAGCAGTGAAGGAACTCCCTAAAGTAATATCTTCTTGACCCTGGCATGGTTTCATTCTCTTTGCAGAGCCCCAAACCCCATACATTGCTCTACGATCCCCATGCAAACCATGATTTTCCTCAAATTCATCACGATCATCAGTTCTTTCATCAACTCCTCTCTCTCCCTCATCATCTCTTCACGATCTCTCTGGCGCTCTTCTTTCTCCTTCATCAAATTTTCTTGAAGAACATCAATCTCAGATTGCATTGCCTCCATTTGTTTGTCACGAGATCATGCCGCACTATCAGATGGCGAATAGGGTCGTGGGCCTATCCCAAATCTATGCAAGTAATTCTTTCTCTGTCCAAGCACTTGCCGTGAGAGTTCCTCATGTGTTAATGGGATCCCCGCATCCGTGGCTGCCGCTTGTAGATTCACCATCGCATCCTGTCATTACCAAAACAAGTAGACTATTCAACAACGGCACAAAGAATCACATTCAATTTTCTGCTAAGATAGGCATTAATATTACAACCGTAGGCGAAAAAACTTTACTCCTTACATGTAGCTCACCACATTTGGGATTAATCCATTCATTTGTTTTCTTCGATTTGTGTGATTTCGAATAAAATTTCGGAAAATCCAACTCCCCATTTTCATCTGCCTGTTAGTTTCAAATAACAAAATTAATTCGTCACAATAGTAACCATGACTTTCATCTTACATATGTAAGTGCTGACAAATTTGCTCCAAATGTATGTAACTCACCATTAGCGACATTGCTATTGGAAATAAGCGAGATCCACTGGTGTGATTGCATGGCAGCAAACTCCGGTTTGCCGTACCAGCTTTAGAGCGTTTCTAAAACAAGAATTATTCAAGAATTAGTACATATCAACGCATAATACACAAATAAAACAATAGGGTCGTTTATATTTGTTTGTTACCAAATGAGATTCATCCTTCCAACCGACATCAATCATGTGTTTCCAATCATCCAAGAAAACTCCTTTAGGCGGATGACTATATGGGTCATCAACACCCTCTTCTACAAGTTTTTCATAGTGTTGCTTCAGGGTGTACCTCCAGTCCTTGTACAACAGATACGCCTTCGTATCAACGATCTCTTGAGCTTGTTGATCAATATGGAAATCCTCACCAATTTCAAACGTGTCCTGCAAGCATAAGTGTGTGACGTATTACAGAAATGGAATGCCGCAAAACATAATATACATAATGGAGACATTTAGTTTAAGGTCCGAACTTACTAGCACAGCCTTTACTACAGAACCTTTGATACTCTAATCAATTTTCTTCCATGACTTCACTCCCTTAAAGGGGCACAACCGCCTTATCTGCAAGCCCAACTCATTTGTGGCAGGCGTGGCATTCCCTCCAGTGAGTGCATTAAGCATGCGATTGACATATACATGTAGTTTCTCCCATTTTTTTCTCGTAAGCCTTTTTTGTACTCCTTTTCTGACTGTAGGACCGCGTACACGATTTGAGTTACTTTTCCCTGGTCAAGAAGGGGCAACAAGTGTAAGGCCATCACATGCAATTAGTTCACCAAACATATAATGAACAATAATTAATACTAAATTTAACAATCATCGAAGCAAATTTTGTAAGGGATTTGGATTTTGTAAGACATGCAAGAACTTGTTCTTCTAGATGACATAAAATCCATTGCTTCAGTCAGGTAAAGTGATCTTTAGGGGCCGAAACACACCTACAAAACTACAATGGTCTTACCTACGCCGTGCACATGTGTCTCTTCTACACATGTTTGTGTGTCATCCGGCGGTTGTGTCTCATCGGATAAAGTCTGTGGTGTGACAACGACAGGTGCAAATGTTCCCGAGGGTGATGCTATGGGGTCAGTTCTTGTTTTCTTACGCCGCCCTGTTTTCATCCCAGGAACCATGCTTGTACCTGGAAAGTACAAGCAAGCAAACATGATACATTAAGTAAACGCATCACATGCATCATCGATATTATGAGGACATGAATTGATATACACAAACCAATGTTATATAAGCATCATCGCTATTATTAAGCAAACATTGATAATTATTGTCAAATAAAAGTGATATACACAAACCAATGTTAAGCATAAATGTGAAATACAGGAATCAGGTAAAGTATCTATTAAGTTTCTTCCATAAACAAATTAACACCACGCAATTTAACTTTCATGTGAACGAGTATATACTTAAACTTGATGCCTAAGTTTAATTAAACCACTCATGAAAATCGGTGCATTAATAAATCACCTTGATGCCTAAGTATTTTGAATATGACAGGAGTATGAAGAGATCTTTTTAACAAAAATGTAAATAAAGAAAGGAAAGAAAGCTAAAAATACAACATAGGAATCAACTCATGACCTTGTCAAGAACATAGTTCTCATCAAATGGACCACTTCCGTGCAAATGGTTATAGACTCAAGCCATGTGGTACTATTAATCTTAGTTATGTATAATTTTATTATTGTACTGGACTGATTAGTCGTATGCTTAATTAATAATTTTATTATTGATTAGTATTATTTCATCAAAGGGTAAGTCAAGGAATGCAAGCATTCAATCACTTTCAATTGTAAGTCAATGAACCCAATTTTTGTGCATGATGGTAAGTCAATTCCATTGACTATATGAACTGAACAATAATATCAATTTTAAGTCAATGAACCAATAAATTTTTGACCATGATGGTAAGTCAATTACATGACTATATAAACCCAACAATAATATCAATGTTAAGTCAATGACCCCAATTTTTGTCCATGATGCTAAGTCAATTCCATTGACTATATAAACCCAAGAATAATATAATAACATCCAACAATCCATCCTCAATAAATAATAAATGACAATAAAAAATTGACAATATGGGCATTTTAAAAGAACATTTCATTATCCGTCACTCACGAAGAAATTTATAACCAAAACCATGAAACCTAAAAAATGGAAATTGGGTCTTACAAGGTCAGTTTGTTCCATTCATACACTAGCTATTTTAGTGGATAAATGAAATCCTTTACTCGGAAAACATACTATAATCTTTTGCATGATCATCAAACTAAATCTTCATATTGATTATCATAGGGCCTGCTATCAACTGGAAAGGAAATAGCTGTCACACGCCTCTCGACTATCGCAAAACAAGATCTTCGTGAATTCAAAACTTAAGTGATTTTGATCGCTAAACTTGAACACTGTAATATGGTTAGGCTTTTGGGATGTTGCATCCATGAAGACGAAAGAATGTTAATTTACGAGTAAATGCCAAATGGAAGCTTGGATTCTCTCAATTTTAGTTTACCCTGTGGATACATTTTGCCTAAATTACTCCCCGAATCAAGACACAAATCATCACCACAAGGAAGGAACTTGTTGGCTACCTCAACCCCTCTTTCAAACTGCAAGACCGACTGACTATCATTGAAAATATCACAAACTATAAGGGTACTACTCACGGGTGAATCCATGAGTCCATCTATGGCATTACAGGTACAATTAGATGAGCCAACAGACGACTGACAAATGGACTGTGAACCAAGATCTATGACCACACTTCGGACCAGACATGACTCGTTCTCACTATTATCAAGTTTTGGATTTATAAATCTTGATACATTACTCAAATCGAATGAGTTTTTAAGATAATGGATGCAAAAGTTTTGATATTGAGCAATGAGCATCACAACTAGGATATTCAACCTTTATAATCAATAGTTATAAACTATATTACATGGACTGGGGTAGGGGTGTCGGGTGTGAGTATGTATGCAGAGGTTTGACACAATGATGTGTTGTGTCAGATATGTGAAGCCCAAGTGAGTTGATGACATCCATAGTGTGAAGGTTCACAATATCAAAGTACGATACCCATCTATACTTCTAAAATGTAAAAAGCTAAAAAAAAAAAAAAAACTAGTGTAGTATCTATTGAATATGATGTGCTGTCAAGCCAAGTGAGTTGATGACATCCTATTAGTGTTGTGGTTCACCATATCAACAGATGTGGACATATATATTCTTCTGATATGTTAAAAACTAGTAAATATTGGGACTATTGGCTTCAAATCGACTCGCTTCACCAACGAAACCTTTTTGACAATCACCACCTCCATTGTAATTTGGCTAATAAATAACAGATTTAATTCACATCTAACCGTCACAATGTCAATAGTTAAAAAGTCACAATAACAAGGATAAGCTTAATTTGGCATAGCCTTAGAGATGAGGCTTATGAACACAACAATTCTTATTAGTTGAGCAGCGTCTTAATCCAATCAAACATGAAAAACAAGTCCTTAGATGATTCATCTTAGCAAGGCTCAATCATATGTGATTTGATACAAACATTTTATTAAGTAATGATCTCTAGAGTTTTATATCTTCTCTCATTTATCAAATTAATGCAGTCCATCCCCAATTTCAGAGCCTGCCACTTCTCTTTGTTGGTGTTTATTATGCATAGAAGATATTGTTTGCATATGGAGGCAAGGCGATAAAAAGTGTATATAAGCACAATGTATGTCGATCAAAGTTAGTATAACATGATGTAACCGTCATATGGAGTAATGATCTCTAGAGTTTTATATCATCTCTCATTTATCAAATTAATGCAACCCATCCCCAATTTTAGAGCCTGCCACTTCTCTTTGTTTGTGTTTATTATGCATAGAAGATATTGTTTGCATATGGAGGCAAGGCGATAAAAAGTGTATATAAGCACAATGTATGTCGATCAAAGTTAGTATAACATGATGTAACCGTCATATGGAGAGTGAAAATGATAACTCCTCCCACTGTAAAACTTAAAATCTAACACTAAAACATTTAATGAAAACTCCGATCTGAGAGGCTCAAATCGGTTTGTTCTTCATATTTGATAATGTTCACTGAACCACAATAGCTTCTCAATTGTTTATCCATGACCACCTATTTTACAAGAATTAGTCAAATTGATTATACCCAAAACCTTATAAAAGTACAGCTCCAAACCAGATTCTGTTTGCCCTATATATATATATATATCTTCCCAATCTATCTGCTAGTTTACAAAATAAGATAGTCAAAGGCACAATGTATCAATTACCCAGAAATTGAAACCCTAAAACAAGTAAGGTGCAATTTTTGAATCA